CAGGTGGTTTTCTTGAATGCCCCTGTGGTTTTCTTGAATGCCCCTGTGCAGAAAAGTTACATGCATGCAGCAAAGTTACATCCATCCTCAGAATTTTTAATTCACTAGACTTTTTTTCAGTCACTAGTAGGAATCCATATTTTAGAAAATACACATGGAAAAAAACAGCAAGTCAGATAGAAGTTGCAACCTCGATCCCAAGTTATTCTATTACAGTAGATATTTTCTTGGACCATAGTATTACAGGATAATTCAGGATGGAAGAGACCTCTGGAGGTCACCTAATCCAAACACCTCATGCTCAAGGCATATTTATTTGGTACAATTATTCAACCCTACTACAACTCTCACTCAGTAGGCTTTCATACTAAAGTGCTCTAGTGAAAAGAAAAACATTTGGCTGTCAAGTACGCTCAGATTTGAGCATAAGGACTGACTCCTCTGAAAGTGTCAGAAAGCATCTGCATCATGTTTTCATTTTAGCACTCTGATTTCAGACTGGACATTATCTATCTTCACGTCTTTGCAATTCTTACGTATTTCAGAACAGTGATTGTGACAAAAACCTCCTGGTTTTCAACCAATATTTTCTGATGAGAAATTCCCATTAATTTTGGTTGAGATCTCCCACAAAAATCTCCTTTTAATGTAAATTATATATATATATTTTTTTTCTTTTTTAGAAGTGGGAGAAACTGAAAACAGATTTCCTACTTGTCTGGAAAGAGTTATTAGATACATTATCTTAGAAAAAGTGGAGAGCTTATATTGCTCCAATCTGTCCTGTATACGATCTAAAGATTTATAACTTCCTCTATTTGTGCCAATAATCATTCCCTTCCCATGCACCACCCATTTTTTTCCACGCACTAGGAGTTTAAAGTAAAGACAGCATATTGGATGTCTTCTGTTTTTAGCTACAGTTGGCTCATAGTAAAATACTATATTAATAATTTTGGGTCAACAGAAATGTCTAACCTCAGCACTAAGCTTTTGTTTAGACAAACTTCAGAAGTAATATAATATCAGCCCAAATTTCTTTCCTATTCCAAATTTTTAATTAAAAAAAAATTGGACATTCCTTTGCAATACTGAATATCAGGGAAGTGGACAGTTTTATTGCTGACAAGCATTAAGGAGAACAAAGTTCCAGTAAAGTTATAGTTCTCATTGGTACTGTATCAGTGGTGAAATTGGTTTAATATACTAGTGCCAAAAGCTGTATTACACAAGACTGTGGTCCTGCAAAAAGAATCCTTTTACAGAGAAAACAAAGCTTATATGGAGTCATATTCTATCAAACAAGATAGACAGACTGACCCACGCTCTCTCACATCCACTTATCAGTCTCAAAATTACAGAGACAAAATACAGAAAACAGTTAATAGTTATGTGAAGAAATATTTCTACACTGGTAAAATTCTCTGCAGTGCCTAAACACCTTGTCACTCACGTATGAAGTGACACATCTTTTTCTAAAGGTGTACTGGCTCTTTAACAAGCAAGCAAAAATGTTGGTAATAGGTCCCTAGCCACTATAAATACAAATAATTTCAGGAAAAAAAAAGAAATAAGCAAAAACTACATCAGCTACAGTTCTGACATGAGATAATTGAGAACATATACTTAATCCATGTAAATTGCACAGTAAATGAAAACAGATCCATTATGAACAGGATTCTTCAGAAAAGATCTTTACAGCACTCTTCCTCCAGAGGACACAATACCAAAGGCAAATCTTTTGCCTGTTTATTTTAAAAGAAATTATAGCCATTTTTTTGGAATAAGTATAAAGAACTCGAAAAAAATCACTCTAACTAGTCTGTCATAATAAA